AGTTTTAAGGCGATGGAAAATTGCTGGAAAGCTGTGTGTTGATGGAAGATTTGGTTCTGAGATGAAAATTTGTAATACTTTGCTTAGTATTTCATATGAAATTTTTTTGAGAATTGATCTTTCAAGGATGTTAGTTGCGAAGCGATGGAAAATTGCTGGAAAACTCAATGTTGATGAGAGACTTGGTCTCGAGATGGAAATTTTTAGTACTTTGATTCATATTTCATATTGATTTTTTTTTTGAGAATTGATTTTCTAAGAATGTTAGTTTCGAAGCGATGGAATATTGCTGGAAAACTCAATGTTGATGAGAGACTTGGTCTCGAGATGGAAATTTTTAGTACTTTGATTCATATTTCATATTGATTTTTTTTTAGAATTGATTTTCTAAGAATGTTAGTTTCGAAGCGATGGAATATTGCTGGAAAACTCAATGTTGATGAGAGACTTGGTCTCGAGATGGAAATTTTTAGTACTTTGATTCATATTTCATATTGATTTTTTTTTTTGAGAATTGATTTTCTAAGAATGTCAGTTTCGAAGCGATGGAAAATTGCTGGAAAACTCAATGTTGATGAGAGACTTGGTCTCGAGATGGAAATTTTTAGGACTTTGATTCATATTTCATATTAATTTTTTTTTAGAATTGATTTTCCAAGAATGTTAGTTTCGAAGCGATGGAATATTGCTGGAAAACTCAATGTTGATGAAAGATTTGGTCCCGAGATGAAAATTTGTAATACTTTCTTTACTATTTCGTATTGAATTTTTTTCAGAATTGATTTTATAAGAATGTTAGTTTCGAAGTAACAAAAAATTGCTGGAAAACTCGAAAATTTGGTTTTCCTTTATTTTTGATCTCGAGGTAACCTGAAAATTTTGAATACTTCGTTCAATATTTCATATTAAACTTTTCGAAAATTGTTTTTCTAATAGCGTTAGTTCCAAAGCAACGAAATATTGCTGGAAAACTTAATATCGACAAAAGATTTAATTTTCCTTTATTCTTGGATCCGAGGTGACCTGAAAATTTTGAATACTTCGTTCAATATTTCATATTAAACTTTTCGAGAATTGATCTCTTAATAACGATAATTTCAAAGCGATAAAAACCGCTGGAAAGCTCAATGTTGACGAAAAACTTGGTTTTCCTCTATTCCTAGTCGCAAGATCCCCTGAAAATTTTGAATACTTCGCCCAACGTTTCATATTAAATCTCCTAACCTAACCTCACTTCCAGGACCATAAAAAATCACTTGAAAACTCAACGTTAACCAAAAAATTCGGTTTTCCATTGGTCCCGAGTTGACCTGAAAATCTCCTTCAAGTCTATGGTCAAGGTGAAAGTGAAGTTCCTCTCGATTAGCCTCGACGATCGGTCCAATAATGGTGGTAATTGCTTGCGAAATTGGTCCAGTTTCCACCTGCAGCCGTGCTCAACAACTCGAAGAACGGTACACGAAATAAGAGACAGCAAAGTAGCAACTTCCTTCGAAGATGAAATCCTCGAAGAGATGGAGGAAAGTCAACGAAAGAAGTTGATTCGAAATCGAATTCAGGAAACGTTCTCGTATATTCGGGCAGTTAACCTTAATTGCAACAACAGTACACAGTTCACGATTTTACTCATCACTTTAATTACACCGACAAGATCACCGTGTGCCCCTCCGGATTTTGTCATCGTGCTCGTAATATGCAAAGCGAGAGAGACGAGTGGTCCAATTTGGAGAAACTGTCCGTTGCGCAATCGTCATTACGACTCTTCGTCGCCGTGTGAGATAACACTTCGCGAGAAAGCGGCCAACTGCACCTTCTTAGGCGTCAAGGAACAAATTGCAATTTATCCAGGATGATAATCGAATCGACAGCTACTCATGATCAATTGTATCGAGCTATCCACCGGTGTTGTTGGCCAATTTTTGTTTGGTAACCCCGATAGATCGGAACGCAACGTCTCGCGTATAAAACGTTTAATTATATAAGAATGTACGTACGTTGCTGTTGCTGGCCTTATTGGTTGAGTTATTATGTAAATACAGAGGAGGAGAATGTGGGATGTGATATATCGTTGGAAATGAAAGAATTCAACGTAAAACTACGAACTAGAAAAGATATTCGTATTAATTACGCTGTGATGATTCTAGATAAGCTTTTATTGACGATTGTTAGACAATCGCGGCTTGATTAGACGTTACACAATAGAGTGTTTTATTTGACAGGCTGACCAAAATTCGAATTTTTACATTTCGTTGAAAATGAAAAGTGTGCTTTCTTCTTTTATAATTTTATTAAATTTTTGTTTATTTATCGTAATGGCTATTTTTGTGATGTTAGAATTTAGGCGGAAGAAAAAGGCCATTTAAAAAGGATTTTTTCGGTGATTGTTAAAATATAATTGTTACCATTTTTAATTTTCTGTGAGTTAACATTCCTATAATATTAGAGCAAAATTATTAAAAAATCGCTGATAAATTGTTGCTTTCCTTGCCTACATATGTAACAAATTGAGTCACAAATTGAGAGTTCTAATATAAAAATTTCCTATTTAACAAATTGAGTCACAAATTGAGAGTTCCAATACGAAAATTTCCTGTTTAACAAATTGAGTCACAAATTGAGAGTTCCAATACGAAAATTTCCTATTTAACAAATTGAGTCACAAATTGAGAGTTCCAATACGAAAATTTCCTATTTAACAAATTGAGTCACAAATTGAGAGTTCCAATACGAAAATTTCCTATTTAACAAATTGAGTCACAAATTGAGAGTTCCAATACGAAAATTTCCTATTTAACAAATTGAGTCACAAATTGAGAGTTCCAATACGAAAATTTCCTATTTAACAAATTGAGTCACAAATTGAGAGTTCCAATACGAAAATTTCCTGTTTAACAAATTGAGTCACAAATTGAGAGTTCCAATACGAAAATTTCCTATTTAACAAATTGAGTCACAAATTGAGAGTTCCAATACGAAAATTTCCTATTTAACAAATTGAGTCACAAATTGAGAGTTCCAATACGAAAATTTCCTATTTAACAAATTGAGTCACAAATTGAGAGTTCCAATACGAAAATTTCCTATTTAACAAATTGAGTCACAAATTGAGAGTTCCAATACGAAAATTTCCTATTTAACAAATTGAGTCACAAATTGAGAGTTCCGATATAAAAATTTCCTATTTAACAAATTGAGAGTTCTAATATAAAAATTTCCTATTTAACAAATTGAGTCACAAATTGAGAGTTCCAACGTGAAAATTTCCTATTTAACAAATTGAGTCACAAATTGAGAGTTCCAATACGAAAATTTCCTATTTAATAAATTGAGTCACAAACTGAGAGTTCCGATACGAAAATTTCCTAATAAAATAAATCACGTGCATACATATATAAATCAGCTTATTTCTAAATTTTCCATTCACCTCTGACTTTTCATCCAAAATTCTATCAAACAATTCCACGTCACCATCTCGAAATTCACTTAGCTCCGCTAAAAATAGCAAACCGCGTAATTCCGTCCAACTCTTTCATCCAAATCCTCCTCATTCACGCGACATGTCGTTGACACCGCAACCGAAATTCATATTTTTCCTACCACTTTCATACCCGAATTATTCTGACCTTTCTACTTCCTTCCCACCACCTCTCATCTCACCTGTAACCCCACCATTCGCGATCCCGTTCAAACCGCAAGCAGTTCCACGATTTTGTAATTCATCCCCGGATCCACCTAGGCAACATCTTCCTCCCCTTCGCGCTCGGCGGAAGGTTGCTCAAGCCCGCGAATAGGCGGAGAGAGATCCCGGGGCGATTTCGAGAGCCGAGAGAACCGAGGCTGCGTGGGATTCGCGGAGGAAATCGAAGGTGCCCCACCTGGGAGGCGAGGCCTGGCTGCGATTCTCGAAGCTCGATTACTCGATTCTCGAAGGGGCACACATGCTCGCCTTCGGTTCCCCCTCAGCCTGCTAAGACATCGGGATCTCCATCACCGTGGTCCTCAAACGAGCCTCGCACTCCGCCAGGTGAACACACATCCCGCCTTCACGCACTCGCGCCCAACGCACGATTTAAGGACCGGCTTTTAGTAAGTTGATCACACACGTTCCACGGCTTCCTTCACTCGCGTATCGCTAGTTATCTACCGGTCCTCGCGGCACGTGGCTTCTTCCACACTTCCTTGCTACTATTGACAGCTCGATAAACTTCGAGGTTTGTTGGAGTTACTCGTTAGCTGTTCGCGGATTGTTCGGTGTTTCTGCTGTTATCCTGTGCAATATCTGTTTTTACATTGTTTTTATCGCTTTCTGTTGATATTTGTGGTTGTTACTTTGACAGGCGATCGATCGAGCCTTCGTCAGAGTCGGTTCAGATCTAAGAGCAATTGCACGCGCTGTTTTTTTCATAGCAAGCGTTTTCACTCACGTTACGGTTTTGCCATGATCAGTTTGATCGTTTTTATATTTTGCATTGATTTTTGCGGTATTCATTTTGACAGGCGATCGATCGAGCCTTCGTCAGAGTCGGTTCAGATCTAACAGCAATTGTGCGCGTTCTGTTTTTGACAGCAAGCGTCTTCACAGGTGTTATTATATTTTCCATATTTCGCATTGACATTTGCGGTATTTATTTTGACAGCTGATCGATCGACTCTTCGACAGACTTAATTCAGATTTAAGAGCAATCGTGCGCGCTCTGTTTCGATAACAAACTGATTATCCCAATATCAGTTCCATCATTTTTAAATTCTGCATTGACATTCGCGTTACTTGTTTCGACAGCTGACTAGCAAGTCGGACACTAGCAAGCATCTCGACACGACAACTACGATTCCCCTAACATCGCTTCAATTTTCGTTACTTCTCGATCGATCACAGGTGTCCCCGACCAACCTTTCACTTGACATTTCGAGTGTCGCGGCAGCCGTTTACTCACTGGCCGCGATTTTCCCCAGAACAAACCACCGCTAACGCAAGGAAGCAAAAAGGGGAAATCATCAAAATGAGGATAACTTGCGTACTCTTTGGCCTGTCGTTGCTCGTCGCCTACATTCACTGCGGTCCTGTCGTCAAGCGGGAAACAGGAGCGGAAGACTTGAGTCCGTTGAACGAGGTAAGAGGCAGACAAATAAACTGATCGATCAAAATTCCCGATACACTTCTCGACAAAGTTACGAAAATCGCGCGCGTGTCAACGGAATCGAAATCAGAGCCTGTGTTAAGCATCGCGAAAGAGAAAGCTGTCTGTTTCAAGCTTTTCGTCGGACGCGAGTCAAATTAAAAATGAAATTTTCACGCACACTGAGATATCGACGATCGCGGGCGATGCATCGCGCGGAGAAATGCGAAGAAAGAGGGACGTGGCAGAAACGCGGCAAAAGAGCGTAGAATCACGGCGGTCAGACAGAAACGAGCGAAGAGTGAAAGCGGTTGACTAACTTCACGAACTCAGACACGCGAAGCCGGATACGAGCGCGTAACGAAAATTCTGCTCCTCGTTCACAAACGAGCACGTGGTCGTAAGCTGTACACCTCGCCTCTTTCTCTCGTTTAACCGGAATAGAGGAACCTCTGCAAGATCGATCGAAGAAAACCGAATACCACCGTTAACCACGCAATCACGTCGAATCTTATTGATCGAAACGTCTACAAGTTTCACCAGCTTCTTTATTCTACACATATGTACAGTTAAACGTTAAGATCCTTTCTCTCCTTTCCCCGGTTACTTAATTCGAGCGTTCGTCTCGTCGCGATTTATCCGGCAAATCGGTTGGAAAGCGGTTTCCACGATGGATTTCCTGTCGGTGGAAACGAGGCTAACAGGATTACGCTTCGATTAGGTGTACGTGGTGGAGGCAGACGACGACCATGCCGTGGACGATGACAGGACAGACAGGGACAAGAGGAAGATCGGTGTTGTGAAGCTGGGCTTGTCTAACGGGATCATCAACTTCGTCTTCGGCGTAAGGTTCTTCCACGCTTATCATCGGCGATAACGTCGTTTCTTCTGACATTCGAGTCCCGTTTCAGAAGCTGGACTCCTTCCTGGACTCGAAGACGAAAGCTTTGGGAGCGCTGGACGAAGCGAACAAGGCGAAGAACGTTGCCTACGGCATCGACGCGAAGCACTCGGCAACGACCAAGTTCATCAGCGATCTGGTGGCGGCTAAACTTCAGGCGACCAGTGGAAGCATCGGTCCAGTGATACACAGCGCCCAGACGTTCCTCACGGGCGCGAAAAACGGGTTGGCTGGAGCTGTTATTTCGAAATTCGCGCCGCTCAGCTCGTTGTCCGGAGGTTTGTCCGCTGGAACCGCCGCGAAAGTTGAATCTGCGCATGCCGGGGCTAGCATAGGTGAGAGAAACGGAATAGAGGACGAAGTGTGGAGGGTTTTGTTAAGTTTTGGTAGAAGGTTTTGGTGGAAATTGTGTTTGTCTTTCGTTTAATTCGTGTTTGTTTGGATATTTAGGTGGATCGACTGTGGGGATCTTAGGAAATCTTCTGAGCTCGAAGATCAGCAGCCTGTCAGCGTTGAGCAAGAACACCGGTGGCCCTGCCCATGCCGATGGTGGCGTTAAAGTTGGAGCGTTTGCAAATTTAGGAGGGGTAGGATCATATTAACTCAATTTCCTCTTCTTTCTCAGTTATCTGTCTCTCCACTTTTTTCTCTTTCTCTCTGAATCTGTATGACCTAGCTGTGACTGATGATTGTTCCTCGTAGAAAGGAGTGCTCGTCGTTTCTTGAACTATTAACAGCAACCGGTAACGAGTCTCGTACTCTTTGTTCCTTTTTCCATTTTGCTTGATTTCTCTTTGTTATTCTCTTTGTTATATGAAAGTTGCTCGCGAACGAACGTACGCGTTAACCCGGGGATTTGGAGCAACGTTTCATTCTCCAACTCGCATGTGTACTGCATGAAACGTAATTCTGTTTCGCGCTGGAAATACCGGCCGGGTCAAAAGTGACCCATTAGCAGTTTATCCAAACTGGTAAATATCACCGTTTGCAACTTTTCCACTCTATTTGCGGCAGTGTGAAATTACGTCGATATAGAAATCCCAAAAATGACCCATTAGCAATTTTTCCAAACGTTAATATCGTTTGCAACTTTTGGACTCTATTTGCATCAATGTGAAATTATATTTATATAAAAATTCCAAAAATGACCTATTAGCAATTTTTCAAAAGAAGCGTATGTTTGATGCGGGTTCATTATTTTGTATCGATATTAATATAATTTTCCAATCACATTTTAACTTCTTCAAAATTGACATTTGCAAAGTCGCCAATGGGTCATTTTTGACCCAGCTGACAATTCCAACGTTAACCTTATTTTCTTCATACACACTTCCACTAGTATCGATATTAATCTAATTTTCCAGTCAAATTTCAACTACCTAAAACTTCACTTTTCTGAACTCTCCAATGGGTCACTTTTGACCCGACCGATAGTTCCAGCGTTAACCTTATTTTCTTCATACACACTTCCATTAGTATCGACATTAATCTAATTTTCCAGTCAAATTTCAACTACCTAAAACTTCGCTTTTCTGATCCCTCCAATGGGTCACTTTTGACCCGACCGATAGTTCCAGCGCAAACCAACTACGTTCCAACGATCTCACCATTGACACTCGAACATCTAACCCCCAAATTACCCCCTAACCGTGACAGACTCTTTCACCCCGCGGTAACAGCTTGCTCCAAAGTAAAAAGCACTTAAAAGAACGCTTTAACGACGCCGTAACACCAGCCGTGTCTGAAATAACCCACTGACAATCTACACTTGGGAGATTCTCTGCTAACGAGACAATTCTCCTAAGCGTTACTCTCCATTCTCGTGACTAAGCCGACCATCGCCAATTAAAATAACCGTTGTGCATAAACAGTACGAATACGATCCGCCGCAAGGGGGATATTATACCGCTTAAAAAATGGACGCGGTGCAAACGAGGAGAGAGATCGGACCCTTGGACTGTGGGACACGTCCAAGGATTACCATCGAGCATCAACGCTTTGTCGGAGGATCCTTTGGCGCGCGACTAAGCATCGATCGTAAAACTCGCAAACGCATATACATATCACGCAAAGAGAAAGACGAGAAGTGAAAACGCTGTATGAGATCGAGAAACTTGGTGGGAAACGACTGCGTGAAAATTCAACGACAATGGATATATTTTTCTTTTGTAGCTCGGCCGATAGAACGCACAGGACCTTCTCTCCGTCTCCCATTATCACTGTGACACGTCCTCCCCGACACAGACACGATCTATGTTTCGAACGACATACGCTCAAGGAGACACCTCCTCTAATCTCTGTATCTGAAATAAGTGAAATTCCGTGCTATAGCCGCCGGAGAGATGTCCTACGTGAATAATTCCCTCCGTTCACCTGCTCTTTACCAGCTGTAAATAATCGTTTAGGTGTACGTAGGCTACGCGCAGGACCGAATCTACGCGTCCTGTGTACCTCAATGCTGTGCGAATTGATTGTAAATAGAGTTATGTCTAACCCAGTATTTTTACTACGAGAACGATAATGTTGAAGCACGACGATGTTGTTGATAATGATAATGATAATGATGTCAAATAAATTCACGATCACGTTTATGTTTTTTGTGTACCAGCCGACTATCTTCTCAAGTCTTTTGCCTTCTCCTGTCCCTCTCCGAACAAGACGTGCAGGATAAACAAGTTCCGATCGATACTTTAATTAGCGAGGACGTAATATCGTTGGCGTAGCGATTCTTCGGAATTAGTTCAACTGGTGTGTCTTCATTGACGACGATGTTTCAATATTAACTAGTCTATCGAAAGAGATAACGGTGGATAAACTCGCGGCAGGAGTGTTTAGCAACGTTTCAAGCTCGCTTATCTGAATCTATTAGTTGGAAATAGTTGGACACACGTGTGTACGCGATATTGCGTCAATGCACCGATCCTATGTACAAGTATTCGCACATGCATGGCGCCAGGAACTTACGGGAACGTAGAAACGAGTCCTTATACCGGTAGAAAAGAAATTAATCTTTCCCTTTCTTTCGCGATATTCGTATTGAAAAACGCATTGCGAAAGTGTTTCGCTATCGTTGCTTTTCTGTGTTCTATTTGTCTCTGTGTGTTCAGTTTCGTTGTCGATCGTTTTCTGTGTTACGCTTGCCTCTGTGTGCCCAGTTTCGCTGTCGATCGTTTTCTGCGTCACGTTTACCTCTGTGCGCCCAGTTTCGCTATGGTTGGCTGTCTGTGTTACGCTGGCTATGCTCAGTTTCGCTATCGTTCGTTTTGTGTGTCACGTTTGCCTCTGTGTGTTCAGGAAAGGATCTCCACCACCACGGAGGACATTCCCGAGTTCGACAGGACGAGGGTGGCCTTGGACGTGCCGCCGCGGGCGTTTAATTCTGGTTTCACCCTAATTACCAATGTCAGCAAAATCCTCAATAGCGTGATCCTCGTAAGTGGAGAACATTTGTCGGATAAATCGAACACGATTGAGAAATCGATTCGGCGGTGTGCTTTGTGCGGTCAGGAGGATCGTTGCTCGGAGACAATCTTGCGACATTCTCTACTTCTCGGACCTGTTATCAGATGCAGCGATTTCTTTTTTTCCCTCGCTGTGTTTTTTTTTTTCCGTCACCTAGACTAATCGCCGTAAACGTGTCACCCTTCACTCTCGACTTTGTTACAAAATCTCTGGCTACTTTGCACGCATGTCGAGCGCGCCGATCAGAACCGAGGCATTCTCGGTCGTGTTTATATATGTGGACTTGTGTGCGAGTTTCTGTAAGGAATGATGATTTGTACAATTTTCAGAATTCAGCCCGTAGAACACAGACGTTACTAGAGATATTCAAGCCGTTCTTCCGTGGAGCGTTCGCCATCAAGGGTCTACCTTCGGATAATCCTCATTAGGAGAGGACTCCTCGAGGACTTAGTATTTTTAAACAGCTCAACTACCACTTCAGGGATTTTTCTGGGACTCTAGAAGACACTCGCCATTGTTCTTCGTTAATGAATTCGTACGGCGACTCCGGAGACCCTCGTTAAAGGAACCCCCAGACCGACGTGAAATGTTCGTAGCGACAGTGAAATTCGTCTCTTGTTCGTATTGAAGAACGAGACGCGGGCTCTTATGGATATTCGAATTTTGAGTATTCGGGTGCTCGGATAGCTGGTTAATTTAGACTCGAGTGTTTGGGTGTTCGGGTATTGAAAATTCGGATAGCTGTAAATTTGAAAGCAGTGAGAGTTCTGATGGAAGGAGAAAGAAATGTGCAGAAAAGAAAGCATATCTGAATTTTGAGATATTCGTGGATATCCGAATTTTGAGTATTTGAGTGCTGGAATTTCTACTCAATTTAGACCCGAGTATTCAGATTTAGGGATATCCGAATTTTGAGTATTTGAGTGCTCGAATTTCTACTCAATTTAGACCCGAGTTTTCGGATTTATGGATATCCGAATTTTGAGTATTTGAGTGCTCGAATTTCTACTCAATTTAGACCCGAGTATTCGGATTTAGGGATAGCTGAATCTTGAGTATCTGAGTACTCGAATTTCTACTCAATTTAGACCCGAGTATTCGGATTTAGGGATATCCGAATTTTGAGTATTTGAGTGCTCGAATTTCTACTCAATTTAGACCCGAGTATTCGGATTTAGGGATATCCGAATTTTGAATATTTGAGTGCTCGAGTTTTTACTCAATTTAGACCCGAGTATTCCGATTTAAGGATATCCGAATTTTGAATATTTGAGTGCTCGAGTTTTTACTCAATTTAGACCCGAGTATTCCGATTTATGGATATCCGAATGTTGAGGATTCAAGTATCTGAATATTTGCTCAATTTAGTCCAGAGTATCCGGATTTACGGTTATCCGAATTTGGAGTATTTGAGTGCTCGAATTTCTACTCAATTTAGATCCGAGTATCCTGGTACTCGCGTGATTTATGAGTCTATTCAATACTAAATGTCAGTGTCGACCAGTCTTCTAAAAAATTAGACACATAAAATAGAGACACCTTGTGTCTTTTGTGTGATAGGTGCACGAGTCCTGTGTATTTTCACGAGTGGAAGTGATGCAAAAAGACAGCGAATAACGCGTAGCAGCGGAAAATATTAATTAATATTTGGTCTTAGCCCCTTACCTTAAGTTGTTTTCTTTAATCTAATTTCTCGAAGTACTCGGATATCCAGACAGTAAGAGCTCTAACATAAAATTTTCACTGCCGCAGCAAATATTCCACATTAATCTCTGAAATTCAGTGTCTTTCGCACATCTCGAATTTAAAAGCAGCGCAAAGAAAACACTTCAAAAAGCGAAATAAATCCGCCATAAAGGAAAAATCCTAAATTTCTCGCTTTGGCATGATCACACTTACAAGCCACCACAAAACGAATATTTCACGTTGCTCTGTTGGTTCCTTAAAATAGTCTGAATTATTTACCAAGATAGGAGCAGAATTTAGCAACATTCCTTACTATTTTTCTTTAAGGAAAGTAGAATCGGGAGGACCTCAGGTGTGTTTCAGGTTACTCGTTGTAGTTGTCCTATATCAGGGAAGAATTGTACTTAGATAATCCTCGTACCTCTAGCTTGAAATAACCAATTAACAATTCGAATCGTGTCCGACGACATCGGCGATTACACAGATCATTCGTCGCTTTGTTTCCTTACACTTTGCCATAAAATTACACGTTCGCCGTGGCGGTAATTGAACGATCGCGTGCCTCTCTCGAGAAACTATGTACACACGACGATGTAATATTTTAGGTAACGCGCTCGGTTAATCATCTCGCGAACAACCGAGCGATAAACCAAGAAATTAGCGAGCACGCGCCGTCTTATCATACTTGTTCAATATCTGTTTTGTCGTCTCGACCATCGAATAAAACGTGTGATCATTTTTAAAACACGAAGTCGACTAAATTTATCGATCTCTTTTTCTTATTCCTAAGAGAAAACTCGTTACCTCTGCCTCTGTTCATTTTTTCTTCTTCCACCAGATACATTCTGAAGTGACCGTGTAAATCTGTCAGACAAACTAGTTGTTTCCGTGATTACTCGTGACACATGGAAATACTGACACATGGAGCTAATTGCGTAATTCTGAAATTGTTGCACGGTTCAAGAAATCGAATCATATTTTATACAATTTCCTATGTACATATCAGGTTTCCATTAACGATTCTGTAATTACACACGCTTTTTACATCTGCAGGTCCGAGAGGTGTGATTTTTTCTGGTTAATTAATGTCACGAGCGAAAGTAGCGCTGGGAATATATTCGAACGGGTTATTTTTTCAATTATTACGCACTTTGTAACGAGCCGGAATCGACAAGCGCACCCTACTTATCGACGAACGTTACTTTGTTGTAGCGTTTGCTCAAGGTAGCTTCTGTTCGCCGCTCAACGACGCCATTAATCCGCCTTATCTCGCGACACCGAAAAATGCGATTCAAGGAAACGGCTGTTAATCACTCGGGGCCCGGCTTCCGCGTCCGGTGAAAGCATTATTGAAACGGTAGGAAAAATGGAATGCGAGTTCAATTGGCCACAGACTCGATTTCCTCTTGTGTGATTTTCTGCAGATTAGACGTCGAAATTATGCAACTGCGCTCGATGTAACTGTGCAGAATACTCGCGTGTCGTTAAAACGAATTAGAACAAACTGAAACGCGGTCTTTTCGAAAGTGGATCTAACAGCGCGGTCTGATAAGCATCGAACAGCCATGGAAACAATTAAAATTCCTCTGAATTGATTAACAATGATAAAAAACGACGGACGCAAGGATACGTGGAAAAATTGTCGCGTAGAACGCAACCTTCCACGGAATCTAGGTATAAAAATTAGACGAACTTTGCATCGTTCACCTGCCAATACGCTTGCGCAATTAAAAGGCTGTCTGTGGCGTGAAAAGATGCAGCACGTGACCTAGTTCTAGACGTCTTCGAGCATCGATGATGTGCATTACGCGCGATTAATCATCACACCGCGTATGTTCTACTTTCCTTGCATCGGCCATGCGCTTCTTACGACGCGTGGTGCAAAGTGCTGGCTATTTTTGCTACTTCGAAGATGCAGCGAGAGAAATTATGAAAATTATTGTTAATAACTATACTACCTTCCACTTTTTTACACGAAAATTTCTCAACATTTGTCGTGTATAATTTTACGACGCATTGTTGTCCAAAGTCGCCTGTAAACCTGTTTCTCTTCGTGCAGACGAGTTCACCGGTTTGCCATGCGCCAGGCGCAAATTGCCATTCTACAGGCGTCAAGTTGTTTATGAGTAAATTTCAGGCAAAAAGGAACTATTAACGTTAACGACAATAAAAACTAGTTTCAGAGGACTCAATCAGTTTTTACAATGTTCGTAAAAATTTCTTTCGTTTTCCATTTCGAAATTACACGTTCCTCGTGGTATTTACGCAAGCTTCGTTGCCCAATTTTCCACGCGAGAAGGATCTTTAATGGATATGACGAGGGGCACGTATCTAGCTTCGAGGGAACCGGGGAATTTCCCTTTGTGAGCTGTTTTGAGAGTTCGTGGAAGAGATGGAGGGGCGAGGGGCTGTCGCTAGAATTTCGTAAAATTTGCTCCGTTGCCGGGGCACGCGAGGTCTTTCGTAAAAACGCGGACGACCTTCGGGGCTGATTCGAGGCTGATTCGAGGCATCGAGAGGCGGAGAGACTCATCTCGTTAGTGACGGTTCTGCCGTCAGACAAGATGCACTTGTTCTTACGCGTTTGTACTATAGTGGGGCCGGTCTGTCACGCTGAAGCTGGGACGAACGATCGTGAGATGAATTCGTTTTGAAGAATTTCGAGCACCTTCTGCCATCTGACTCGAGGTAAGTCCTATACTAATTTTCTTTTTTAACTTCAATAAGAGAATTGTTAGACGTAAGAAAAATTGCGGGGGTTGAAAATTTTGCGCAGCTATTTATGGTGTTTCTTAAGAATCTATTTTCTTCGAAGAGATTACCTACGAATATTTGCAAAATTGTTGAGAGTAAGGAAAATTGCGAGGGTTGAAAATAGTATTGAAGCAATATTTCGAAAATTTCGTGCAGCAATTTATGGCGTTTTGTAAGAATCTATTTTCTTCCAAGTGATTACCTACGAATTTCCGGGCAGTTTTTTTCAAATATCAATAAGAAAATTGTCGGAAGTAAGAAAAATTGTGAGAGTTGAAAATATTATTAAAGCAACATTTCGTAAATTTTGTGCAGCAATTTTCGACGTTTCTTAACGATTGTCTACGAATATTTCCTAACTTTTTTCTTCATTTCAATAAGAAAATTGCTGGAAGAAAACTTGCGAGGGTTGGAAATAATTCTTACACTTCGTGCAGCACTTTAGTGTTTCCCAAGAATCTATTTTCATCAAAGTGACCGTCGCCGAATTTTTCCGTGACATTGCCATGTCCACCTTAACTCCGCGTTCACTTCTATTCCAAGTAAGCGCAAACGTTAGTATTCACCGTCAGTGGGAATACATGAATGAAAATGACTCTTGCCATTTTCCTCTTACTCTCTTTTTTCGGCGTTGTTTATCGTGCAAGATACTGACCGAATTCCTACTCTCCTATCGAGGTCAAAGAATTCGCTACGACTATTTCATAACCGATTACGCGAACGTTACATAAAACAAAATTTAGCCACGATATCACCGAAACACCGCGCAGCTGAAATTTACGCAATGGATCTCGCATAATTATCGAGATTTCGAATTGGTCATTTCTACTGAAAAAGATCAACGTACACACACGCCACAGCGGGTTGATATTTCTATGATTGACAGAAAAATGCATAACTTTACCAGCACGCGAAGTGACACGGTACACTGCTGCACGCTTCTACTTTTCTTCTGTTTCTATGCTCTCTTGCTGCTGCCTTAGTTCAG